GACAGACATTTCTTGTATGTCTGTTGGTTGAGAACTTTCTGCATCAACCCTTTGGCTTCCTCTCGTTTGGCCTGACGGAAAATAAGATAATAGTTTACAAACTGGCAACATAACATAAATAGGTCTGGAGGTCGACCATGCAAACGATGGATAGATGGAATATATACCAGCATCTACCTAGCACATACCAAGGCTCTCACCCAATGCCTCTTCGAAACTTAACCCTGAAAGATTCAGTAAAAGGAGCCTTTTCCGCGCCATCAGGTTCATGCATACAGGGCTATACCAATGGCTTTCCCATGTGTGTTCCAGGCAACATTGTGGAGGACAACAGGAACAGACCCACAGCTACTACCAAAAAGCAAGTCATAGGAGTCAACTGATTGGGGGTATCCTTTGAAACTGAAGTAGATCTATCTGATAAGCAGAGAAGTAACAAATATGCCAGAGCTGTGAGACGCAATACTCTGGAACAAGACTGAAGCCTAGAGGTGGCTGAACACCCAGAACTCTCCACTAAGTTTACAGCCGGTAACAGCAGAGAAGAAGAAGAATGTTTGAGAAAACTGATAAACATTTGATGGGACGAATTCAAGAAAAGAGAAATCAAACAAATGTCTGGATAACTGCAGGTATTTACAGTTATGAGATAAAGGAGAGGCCACTGTTGGTGGATAACTGCAGGTATTTACAGCTATGAGATAAAGGAGAGGCCACTATGTTGGTGGATAACTGCAGGTATTTACAGCTATGAGATAAAGGAGAGGCCACTATGTTGGTGGATAACTGCAGGTATTTACAGCTATGAGATAAAGGAGAGGCCACTATGTTGGTGGATAACTGCAGGTATTTACAGCTATGAGATAAAGGAGAGGCCACTATGTTGGTGGATAACTGCAGGTATTTACAGCTGTGAGATAAAGGAGAGGCCACTATGTTAGTGGATAACTGCAGGTATTTACAGCTATGAGATAAAGGAGAGGCCACTATGTTGGTGGATAACTGCAGATATTTACAGCTATGAGATAAAGGAGAGGCCACTATGTTGGTGGATAACTGCAGGTATTTACAGCTATGAGATAAAGGAGAGGCCACTATGTTGGTGGATAACTGCAGGTATTTACAGCTATGAGATAAAGGTGAGGCCACTATGTTGGTGGATAACTGCAGGTATTTACAGTTACGAGATGATGCTGTTTATTAGCCAATCTTCCTTGATGCTCAGATCTTTCAAGATGTCTGTATTTTTCCTCTTCTTGCAACCAGGATGGTAAATATTAATTTTACCAGTTACCAAAAAAAGATTGCCTGTCTCTGCTCTATGATAAACACTGATAAGAAAGGCCAAAGGTCAACTGCCTAGTCTACGATGTTGGCTTCCTTGATGAGAGAGTTAAGATACGGAAAGGAAAGTGACAGAAAAGACTCAGAAAGGAAGGACATACCTGGTCTACGATGTTGCCTTCTGTGATGAGAGAGTTGAGATACGGAAAGGAAAGTGACAGAAAAGACTCAGAAGGGAAGGACATACCTGGTCTGCGATGTTGCCTTCCTTGATGAGAGAGTTAAGATACGGAAAGGAAAGTGACAGAAAAGACTCAGAAAGGAAGGACATACCTGGTCTGCGATGTTGCCTTCCTTGATGAGAGAGTTAAGATACGGAAAGGAAAGTGACAGAAAAGACTCAGAAAGGAAGGACATACCTAGTCTGCGATGTTGCCTTCCTTGATGAGAGAGTTAAGATACGGAAAGGAAAGTGACAGAAAAGTCTCAGAAGGGAAGGACATACCTGGTCTGCGATATTGCCTTCCTTAATGAGAGAGTTAAGATACGGAAAGAAAAGTGACAGAAAAGACTCAGAAGGGAAGGACATACCTGGTCTGCGATGTTGCCTTCCTTGATGAGAGAGTTGAGATACGGAGAGGAAAGTGACAGAAAAGACACAGAAAGGAAGAACATACCTGGTCTGCGATGTTGCCTTCTTTGATGAGAGAGTTGAGTGCATGCAGCTTCTTCAGAGCCTCCTGCTGCTTCATGAGCACCTGCAGGTGGTCGAGGTTGTGCCGCAGGTAGCACTGCAGGATCAGGCTGTACTGGGTACTGACCGTGGGATTGTGGGTCTCAGACCTGAAGTGACAGAATAAAAAAGAGGGTCAGTATTGGCTTCCCTGCAGTATTGTGTCTCATCTTCATCAATTTCCACTTGGCCGTAAATATATTCATATCCGTGCCTCCCAAACACTGCGCAAGAACAAACAGAATCAATGCGGTTAACTAGGCTTCTTGCCTGGCTCTCTAGCGTAGTTGGCTAAACCGGATTGCGCGGAGACCGGGTGACGAACTCCTTGTGGTCCGGGTTCAATCCCGGGGGTAGGCAGGAAAGCCACATTTTCTCCCAGGTTTACGGTATTTACAATGGAATCAAGGCTGAAAGGTTGCGATATCCATAATACCGAGCCTAAGGGTTAACAACTCATGGCTTCTGGATACTTAAACAAAACTAATAAAACTAGGCTTCTTAAGAACAGGTCACAGCAGAAATTCAAGCAGTGAATTAAGCCACCGGTAGAAATCTCTATCAATCAGGAGCTCTCTCTGCAAAGAAGGTAGCTGCTATGGGTCTCCAACACACTCTGTCTCTTGTCTTGGCTGTACACTCTCTCAAACTGTTGTTCGTTTATCTATTGATGTTGTCCTCCCACTTGTAATGTTGTCTACCTCTTTCTCACTCGCCGTTTTCCTTCAGTTTGCTTTTTAAAAGTGTACTGTGTCTTTCAACGTGGCCAAAATATTTCACTTGTCTCTCTTTTATTTCTTTCATTAATTCTATTTTCATTCCCAGTCTTTCCAGAACTTCTGTAACTGACGAAAATGTCAGATTCATAACTTCCCGGGTCAAGAGAGAAGATTAGGTTTGAGGTTTGAACAACAGGTCAACATCCTGGCACACAGGTAGTAACCCATAAGTGCTTCATTCTTCTTCTAACTCAAGTCTAAATCCAAAGAAGCTCAGCACAGTACACAGGCTCTGTAGCACCGGCAATAATACTGAAATAATTTATATATTGTTTTTAACTCCAAATTTTGCCCGGGCAGCATTGTTAGGCTACTCTTTTCGATTTCCAACTGCCAAGAGATTTTTTACGTGCACAAAAATGCCCACGGGCGTCCGATCACACTACCCAGAGACCAGGGGGAATTACTAGTCAAAGTCTGAGTGAAAAAATCCAACCCCTTACCGGGGATTGAACCTGGAACCTCAAGAACACGCAGCCCCCCCCCCCCCCCCCCCCCCCCCAGATTAGAAAAGTGGGTTAAAAAAAATAATTTTTTAAATACCTCAAAAGCCAGAAAAGTTTGTGTCCTAGATGCTGGTTTTTGAGAGCTCGCTGCAACAGGAACTCGGCCAGTGGGCAGGTGATGTGTGTCTCAAACTTGAGGGCTTGGACCAGCTGCAGCATGTACTGAGAGACATCATCATCGCTTGGGGATAGACAGACAATTACAGAGTCAGACATGTACTGAGAGACATCATCATTGCTTGGGGATAGACAGACAGAGTCAGACATGTACTGAGAGACATCATCATCGCTTGGGGATAGACAGACAGAGTCAGACATGTACTGAGAGACATCATCATCACTTGGGGATAGACAGACAGAGTCAGACATGTACTGAGAGACATCATCATCACTTGGGGATAGACAGACAGAGTCAGACATGTACTGAGAGACATCATCATCGCTTGGGGATAGACAGACAGAGTCAGACATGTACTGAGAGACATCATCATCACTTGGGGATAGACAGAGTCAGACATGTACTGAGAGACATCATCATCACTTGGGTATAGACAGACAATTACAGAGTCAGACATGTACTGAGAGACATCATCATCGCTTGGGGATTGACAGAGTCAGACATGTACTGAGAGACATCATCATCACTTGGGGATAGACAGACAATTACAGAGTCAGACAGACAGAAATATATCATCATGGATACATTAGATACAATCACTTCTCTTTCACAGGGTCTTTGTCATCTGTAGGTTCCAGTGAGTGAGCATTATAGTTATACTATTATCTATTATCTGATTAAATCTGCCATTTCCCAGAAAGAAAATAAATACAGACTCAAAATATCAACATGGATATCAGAGACCAGTTCGGCTACGGGATAGGTAGGTGTGATGATAGTGAATCATCACGTATGAACAAGTTGACCCTCAGTCAAACTCAGAGCGAGATCGGGCAGTTTGACCATGGAATAAACTGTATCGACTGAGCTGGGCTAAGCCCTACGTCCCACTAGTAACACACGTTACAGTGTGTCAGAGATGAACGCTGAAGAGGAACAAAGGGCTTGTAAAGAGCTAGTTGGGAGGCGTGTAGTAGGACACTGGACTGGACAGATGTGGGACTGCAACGGTAAAATGTATCTTAGATTAGTGACAGTTAGTAAGAATAGGATTTGTGGTTAGTAATTGAGACTGGTTGTGTTTCCATACAGTGTTTTGATGAGATAGGGCAATGTTAATGTTTCTTGTATAGTAGACGTCCCACGTAGTCTCTGTTAAGCAGGTAGTTAATGTTTGACATGCATTGTTGTTGGCGTTAACGCTGCCCACTCATACTTAGAACATTCACCTTACGAGTATCACTGAGTCCCGTGTGGCATGGACGGCGGCTTAGTTAGCGCTGGGCGACAGGGAGGTGGAATCACATCCTTGGTGTATCCATGGCAACGGCTGGGGTTAATTAGTGAATGTAAAAGCTATCAACGCAGGCGTTTCGGATAAGGGCAGGCACCTTTGTTGAGGTGCTGTAAGTTGAATTGTTCTCTGTACATTAAAGATTATGTGTGTACTCAGTAGGTGTGTGTTTTAAGTGTGTCCTAGGGTATTTAAGTCTGTCAGCTGACCTACCTAACGAGCCATAGGAATTACATTAATAAAGTAGGTCCCTGACAATGTGAAATTTACATCTGGAATCTCTCACCTGAGCTCATTGTTCAAACATTTGACAGCAAACTCCCGAACGTTTCGGTCGGGGTACTCAAAATCCAGAATCTCAAGGGCGTAGTCCACGGCCAGTGGAGGCCACGTCTGCAACAGTGCTGTCATCTGGAGACACAGACACAAGCACTACAAGACAGGTAGAAGAAGCATAACAAGACAGGTAGAGGAAGCATTATAAGACAGGCAGAGGTAGCATTACAAGACAGGTAAAAGAAACATTACAAGACAGGTAGAGAAAGTTTTATGAGACAGGTAAAACAAAAAACATTACAAGACAGGTAAAAAAAGCATTACAAGACAGGTAAAGATAGCATTATAAGACAGGTAAAAGAATCATTACAAGAAAGGTAAAGGTAGCATTACACGACAGGTAAAAGAAGCATTACAAGACAGGTAAAGGAAGCATTAAAAGACAGGTAAAAGAAGCATTACAAGACCGGTAGAGGAAGCACTACAACACTACAAGACAGCAAAAGAAGCATTACAAAACAGGTTTTAAAAAAGCACTACAATACAGGTAAAAGAAGCATTACAAGACAGGTAAAGGTAGCATTACAAGACAGGTAAAGGTAGCATTACAAGACAGGTATAATAAAAAGCACTCCAAGACAGGTAAAAGAAACATTACAAGACAGGTAGAAGAATCATTAAGAGACAGGCAAAAAAGCATTACAAAACAGGTTCCCGTGAAGGTTTCCGGGGTCCCACTGTGGGGGAAGGGGGTAAACACAGACCCACTACCTCCAACAAACATGTCGTAACAGTCCATTAATTAGGGGTTTCCTTCAAAGTAGGAGTGCATCTGCCTGAGAGTCAAAGAACAAACAGAGTGCCAACAAATAAGCCAGATCTGGAAAATGGATGTACATGCATAATCAGATTATGGCACCATACTAAAGTCCACAAACAAGAGTTTATAGCCAGCAAAAGTGAAGAAGAAGAAGAAGAAGGAGGAGGAGGAGGAGGAGAAGGAGGAGGAGAAGAAGGGGAAAAGGAGAAAAATAATAACAATAAAAATCAGAAGAAGAAGAAGAAGAAAAAGAAGAAGAAGATTTACCCAAATATGAAGCCATTACCTTGGCAACATCAACGTAACTGTTCCACTTGACAGACTGCAGCACCTTGGCTAGAGCATGAGGGAACCTGTGCCGGACCTCGTACCGAAGCAGCCAGATGAGGTCCTTGTCTTGCTCAAAGAGCTGATCTGACTGGTTGAGTGCCTGATGCAGTTGCTCCAGGTGCGACTTGCTCACCTTCATACTCTGAGCATAAATCATGGACAACCTCACAGATTATTCTCATTGTTCTGTTTTGTGATTTACATTTATTTTTATAAATGTAAACAAAATAAAAAATTTTTTAAAGTAAAAAAAGTAAAGGATTAAAGGACCCTGTTCCCACGCCTTTAGGTGTATAGGGCATATAGGGCTAGACCTATATTTTATAGACCAATCGGCACAAGATGGGTGATGTGGTCAGCCTTACTTTCCTGGGACTGCACCCGGTACCCACTCAAGGCTGGGTCGACCTGGGCGCCAAGGTAATTTTTGAAAAAAGTCCGGCTCCGCCAGGGAGCGAACCCACTACCTTCCGATCCGCAACAAGCGCCTAGCCGCTCAGCCACTGCGACTCCCAATTTTTTTAACGTTTCACATAATTAATGCCCTAAAAGGAAGAAAAAAATGTTGGCATCTAAGGTTTAAGGACTGCAAACATGCCACATAGTGCCAGGGTCGACTCCATCTGCACCTAAAATATTATATCACAGACAATAAGAGCTCAATGTTTTATCAGGAACTATTCTCTAAGGCAATGTTTTCACCTGACAAACTTAACTTAACTTTAATAAAAGCTTAAAAAAAGACATAACATTACAAATGTCATATATACTTCTCATTCTTATATTGCATGCTGCAAAACATTAGTAGTCATTTATATCCTCAACCTTCTGTCTTTCAATCAGTTCTGACACAATCTTCAATGCATGAATAAAAAAAAAAATGTATGAATAAAATGTTGCATGAGAGGAGGAAGATTAGAGGGGCAAAATGTTAGAGGGGCAAATGTTAGATGGGCCCCATGTGCCTGATTCGTAACCCTTTGAAAACAAAGTTTGTTCCTTCATCTGACCAAAAATTAAATATGCTACAACAAGAAGAAGATGGATATACAGCAGGCTGCACTCAGGACATTCCCATATGTGCTCCGTCCCCTTCTTCAGCAGCCATCAAAGAGTTGACATGCTAACAGTACCAGTTGCTACCTGATGAAAAGTCCGCTTTTGTTTCCCCTTCAATGTTGATTATCCTCCAGAACCTCTAGTCACACCCCTATAGAACTAATCTTTCAAGGTATGGATTCTCTGTCTGTCCCACTACACTGTCCACTTGATCTCTTAAAACCTTTATCACATACGTTTTATCATTAAACAGTTCAGCTATTCTCCGAATAACGGACCCAAATTATCGAGCGCCTCATTATCGACAGGGCCTCAGTTACATGTCAATTGCGGACTTCTGGCGACTTAAATTGCGCACTTCCGGCGACTTCCGCCAAGAGTATCTCCCACGCTGCTATGTGCTGGGATTCACAAGCAGCAGCTACCGCATCTCCTGCAGCTTTCTTCATTTTATTTGCTCGTGAGTCCCAGCCATCTAGTTTAGCCCCAATCCACACCGCGCGTAGCGGCATGGGAGATACTCTCTGCGGTGGTGGTATAGTGCCTGGAAGTCCGCAATTGACACGTGACTGAGGCCCCGTCAGGGTATATTTTCAGCCTCGATAATTTGGGACCGTTATTCAGAGGATAGCCAACAGTTCAACACTCAAAAAAGGGACAGCAGGTAATCTATCAGCTTGCTTGTTACCCTACACACCTGAATATCCTAGACAGAAAATCCAAGACATGTTACACACACACACAATGAGAAGCATGACAAGGACTTACAGGAGATCCCTGGCTCCCATCTGGTTCCATGTTCATAGAGGCACACTCCAGCACCTGCAAATACAAGCACCATCTTTAAGAATATGTGGCCGTCACAGGAAACACAGGTCACAGAGTTCAAATGTCACTGACCATCAGTCAAGGTCACTGCTGAAGTTCACAGACATTTGTTGGTGTAGTCTTCTTCTGTCGGCTCTGTGGCTAAGTCGATGCCAACGCTTCGTAATGCCGGGATGCCAGGTTCGATCATAGCTGTGGGCCATGCACCTTGCATTGGTTTAGGCAGAGGTATCAAGAAAGCCGACTGTCCAGAAAGCAACGGCAAACAACTGGACGCAAATTTGCCTAGAAAAACCTCCTGTAAAGAATACGCAACTAACCAGTCTTCTTCTGCTTTTGCTTCTTGTGACTGCTTTCCGAATTACACCAACACACGAGTCCTTGTGATTTTGACTGGGGGGGGGGGGGGGAGGGGTCCCTTTTTGACTCATTGATCTAGTAGTCCTTTCTTATTGGACTGTACAAAGGCAGCATTGCAGGATATGTTCTGCAGTTTGCACACACAACAACCCACATGGTACAGAGGTGAAGCTTTTGCCCTTAAAACAGAGGTTTGCATGTTGTATGAGGTTTATAGCTAAGCTGCGATTTCAGAAAACTCCTCTTCTTCAAAGTGTTCACCGGCTGTCAACTCTGGTGGAAAGTTCTGGTTGTTCATCCACATATAGACTTGTTCCAAATGTTTAAAATGCACATTAGTTTTACAGATCAAGCTTCTTTGTGTGCAGAGTGTTGGTTTCCTCATCTCTCAGACAGATATATTCCAACTTTGACAGAAAAACCCCTAATTAGTAGCCCTTTATGACATGCCTGTTAGGACAGAAAGTAGGTCTGTCTGTTCTTGCTCTCTCACAACAGGGCCCCTCACCAACACAGGGAAGCAAAACATTCATTAGCGGCCTTTTCCAGCATGATTGCTGTGCAGCAGTTGCCCTCCCCCCCCCCCCCCCCCCCCCCCCCAACCACCCTTCAACCCTATAATGGGGCCCTGAAACCCAAACAGGGATAGCAGGTGAACAATTCAGTCCAAAAAAAACGGTAACAATGAGTAAAACAACTGTAACAAATTGAGAAAAATTAGACACTGAGGCAAATATATAGTACTAACTGAAACAAATAAGTAACAAAAATATAAAACACTACGATGGTTAATGATTGACATCTGAAAAGATCTGAACATCAAGGAAGATTGGCTAATAAACAGCATCCTTTCTCAAAAGCTGAAAATTTTTGGTTATATCAAGCGCCACAACGGATTGGAAAAAAATTATAGCAGAAGGCATGGTACCAGGAAGGAGGGGCAGAGGGCGACCAACACGAAGATGGGCACAGGATATAAGTGACTCCTTGAGTGTGAAAGTTCATGAGGCGGGAGAACTGGCGAGAGACCAAGTTTCTTTCAGGCAGACTGTGATGAGAGCGACGTTCTGCAAAGTACCTGCTACATGATGGTGATGACTATGGTTAATGAGGAGATGAAGAGATTAACATGATAAGATGAACTGTAACAATGAGACAACAAAGATGAGGACATTACCGTGTCGTACGGAGGGTAAATGAGGTAGCCACCGCCGACATCTGCCACGTCGGGAAAGCTGATCTTGAGGAACGTGGCGTCCATGCACATGCAGTTCAAGGACACACCGCCTGCGAGAGGGAAGTAAGATATCATGCCATCACAACTACAAAAACTGTGACCTGGTACCTACAGACACCACTAACATAAGCCAACATTAACATGTGTTTAACATAAGCCCACATTAGTGAAAGACTATATTAACACCTGTTTGACATCCATTACATAGACATATCTAACAAAAGCCCACACTATGTCTACACTAACATCCATTACACGGACAAGTCTAACATAAGCCCACACTATGTCTACACTAACATCCATTAAAGGGACAAGTCTAACCTAAGCCCACACTATGTCTACACTAACATCCATTACATGGATAAGTCTAACATAAGCCCACACTATGTCTACACTAACATTCATTACACGGACAAGTCTAACATAAGCCCACACTATGTCTACACTAACATCCATTACATGGACAAGTCTAACATAAGCCCACACTACATCTACACAAAATCCATTAAAGGGACAAGTCTAACATAAGCCCACACTATGTCTACACTAACATCCATTACATTGACAAGTCTAACATAAGCCCACACTATGTCTACACTAACATCCATTAAAGGGACAAGTCTAACATAAGCCCACACTATGTCTACACCAACATCCATTACACGGACAAGTCTAACATAAGCCCACACTATGTCTACACTAACATCCATTAAAGGGACAAGTCTAACATAAGCCCACACTACGTCTTCACTAACATCCATTACATGGACATGTCTAACATAAGCCCACACTATGTCTACACTAACATCCATTAAAGGGACAAGTCCAACATAAGCCCACCCTATGTCTACACTAAGATCCATTACACGGACAAGTCTAACATAAGCCCACACTATGTCTACACCAACATCCATTACACGGACAAGTCTAACATAAGCCCACACTATGTCTACACTAACATTCATTACACGGACAAGTCTAACATAAGCCCACACTATGTCTACACTAACATCCATTACATGGACAAGTCTAACATAAGCCCACACTACATCTACACAAAATCCATTAAAGGGACAAGTCTAACATAAGCCCACACTATGTCTACACTAACATCCATTACATTGACAAGTCTAACATAAGCCCACACTATGTCTACACTAACATCCATTAAAGGGACAAGTCTAACATAAGCCCACACTATGTCTACACCAACATCCATTACACGGACAAGTCTAACATAAGCCCACACTATGTCTACACTAACATCCATTAAAGGGACAAGTCCAACATAAGCCCACCCTATGTCTACACTAAGATCCATTACACGGACAAGTCTAACATAAGCCCACACTATGTCTACACCAACATCCATTACACGGACAAGTCTAACATAAGCCCACACTATGTCTACACCAACATCCATTACTCAGACATGTCTTACATAAGCCCACACTAAAATAAGCCCTAGTTAAAAATTAGTTGCGACCCTTTACAAGACATCGCAGAACCAACCCCAGCATTTTTTGGCTGCTGTAGTTTTTCTAGGCAAGTTTTACGTTCAGTATTTTGCTCCTGCATCTGAACGGTCAGCTCTGGCAAAATCAGTGCAAAACAGATCATCTGCAGCAGGGATCGAACCATTCACACCGATATTATGAAGCACATTCTTCTAAGGTACAGACATTTAGTACAAATGTAACAATTTACTGACAGCTGCCTTATGCATTTTTAGTTGCCGCGTGCAAGCTCCCGCTAGAAATTACAAGTTTTTCACTACTTGTCAAACAGGACAATGAAGGAGAGTTTTGTTATTTTCTGCTGGCACAGGAAGGGCACAGAAACAGCAGATCAAGTGGTTTGGCCACCTCGTTAGAAGGCGGCAAGATCAAATACCATCACAAGCACTACATCTCAGAAGATCAGCTACAAGAGCAAGAGAGCGGCCGCGAAAAATATGGATCGACAACATTAAAGACACTCTACGCCTTCATGGCATGACAATAGCCAGTGGCAGCCAACATGCACTGGATTGCAAATTATTCCTCCCCACGACGCTTAATGGCAGAAGTGGTTTATGATGATGATGATGATGACAGGAGGGGAGCAATTATGGGGTGGCCTGTGGACAGTGATGCTAAAACCTCGACTAGCGACAAAATCTTTCGGACAGTAGGGCTACGAAGACCAGCATTAGAAAGAAAGCTGAAATGAGGCCATGTCTGAAATATAATGACAGTCAAAGAGATCCTACGTGGGTTCCGGGGCCCCATTGTGGGGAAAACAAAAACAGACCCACTGCCTCCCCATCAAGCATGTCGTAAGAGTCGACTAATTGGGGGGTTTCCTTCAAAGTTAGAGTGCATCTGCCTGAAAGACAAGGAACCGACAGTCTGCATACAAATAAGTCTGATCTGTAAAACTGATGTGCACACAACACTAAGGTTCTGAAAGTCTAAAGTCCAGAGGTGCAGAGTTTACAGCCAATGAATGCGAAGAAGAAGAAGATGAGTAAAGAATGAAATGGTTTGGCCATTTGTGAGAATGTAGCCACATTAACCTGTATATGAGATTTTGCTTACAGTAGAACTGTGAGAGAATGACATCACTCAAGCCATCCGAGAATTGCAAGACTAATCCAGAAAACCTGGCACCAGTGAGACAACAAAAGAGGAAGAGAAGTGGACACCTCACCTAGAGGGTAGCAGTGCTCCTCTGGCTGCTGCAAGAGGTCCTGTGGCCACATAGGCAGCTCCCGGTCCCCTCTCTGGAGCCGCAACTTGAAGTCGTAGATTGGAATGTTCACCCATGAGCTCAAGTCCTGAGCACAGTCAAATCAATAAAAGTTAGTTCAATCTTCAGTACAAAAATAGTCCAATCTTTAGTACAACTGGTCCACAGTCACTTCAATTTTCAGTACAGCAATTAGTCCACAACCAATTTAGTATAAAGCAAAATCACAAGTAAAATCAACTGCACAATCAGAAGAACAATCAACAGTTCTTTATTTTTTTAGTCACATCACACAGGGCTACAATATTTGGTAGGAATTTCTAGGGGTTTCCAGGACAGTTCAATATTATAGGGGGGTTACGGTTAGAGCTAGTGTTAAATGCATAGCAACTACTACTAAGCACAACCCCAAACCCCTATACTATGGGATGTTCTGGCGATTTCCCTAACAAATCTTGTAGTGGTGTAATGTGGTGATTAAAAAATAAAGAACCCAATCAACTGTAAAACCAGAAGTACAGTCAACTGCTCAGTAAGAAGAAGAATCAAATGTATAATTAAAACTACAATCAACTGTATAACCAGAAGTAAAAATCAACTGAACAACCAGAAGTAACAATCAACTGTACAATCAAAAGTAACAATCAAGTGTACAATCAGGAGTAACAATCAACTGTACAACCAGAAGTAACTATCAACTGTTCAATCAGAAGCATAATAAACTGCACAATAACAAGCACAATCAAATGCCCAAGCCACTGCTATCACAAATAATAATGCAATCAAAATTATAATCAACAGTACAATTAATAGTATAATGAATGATCAAATCAAGAGTACTTTTCATTGTACATTCAACAGAAAAAAATTAATAGCAAACAGCATATTCAATTGCAAAACAGTAAAATCAACAGCATATCCAACAGTGAAAAGGTAAATCAAAAGTACAACTTAAATTACATTCAACAATCATAAAGTGCAATCAACAGTACTTTTAACATTCAAATTAAAAGTACATTCAGCAATCAATAGTACAATCAACATTTGCTTTTGCTGTGTTCGAGTTTATAAAGGCTGTTGGCCCATCGTGTGGTTTACAGCAAGACTGTGATATCTGCGCCACTCTAGTTCACATATGATTTCAGCAACCTCTTAATTAATCTTTTTTTCTGACATGATTGTTTACCCAGCCCCCTCCCCCACATGCGGATATAACAGTACATTCAACAATCAAACACAACAATCAACAGTACATTCAACAATCAACAGTACATTCAACAATCAACAGTATATTCAACAATCAACAGTATATTCAACAATCAACAGTACATTCAACAATCAAACACAACAATCAACAGTACGTTCAAAAATAAAATGCAACAATCAACAGTACATTCAACAATCAACAGTGCATTCAACAATCAAACACGACAATCAACAGTACATTCAACAATCAACAATGCACTCAACAATCAAACACAACAATCAACAGTACAATCAAAAGCTCATGGTATGAGATTCAACAGCTAATCGATATTCAGAACTGAAGAAAACAGAAGAAACAAACAATAATAGAAACAAATTGTTAAAACCTTTCTCTTGGTGTTGTTGCCGATGGTATAGAGGGCAAAGCACAGCCTGGCAGCATGAGGCAGATCTGCCACTTGTATATCAAAGACGATGTCTGACTTGACATTACAGGTCCTGTCCATGACAGTCAATTCATCTGTCTCCCTCTCTTTACACAAGGACTCACCTCCGTGGTAGACGCCGATGTATAACTTGATCTGTCGGGAAGACAATAAGATTGAACCAGATATAAACTATGATAATTAACAATGGAAAGCTCCACCAACAAGAAACATCACAGTAAATGATGAGATATATCAGAGAAATGGGAAGGATAGAGGACTTTGGGGGTAGTGAATCCACATCACTCGCCAGAGTGGCAGACTTGGGAATTAAGATCGGCATAGCAAAAAACGAGACGCACACCAGACACGCCAGAAGACTTGTTAATCAACATAGAACTGGTACTATTAGCCATCGGACGTTGGGGTTCATACTGAGGGGAGGATCTAAGCACCTATGGACATGTCCGGAGTGCAATGATGATAACCCAACTAACTAACTAGCTAACTAACTAACTAATTTCAGAACAAGTGACACCCCTGTGGGTTCTAGAGGGGAAAACAAGAACAAACCCACTACCTCCCAAAAAAGCATGTCGTAAGTCGACTAACTGGGAGCTATCTTCGAAGTCTGAGGGGCAAGGAGCAACCAACTGCACACAAATAAGCCAGTAAAACTGGTGTACATGCAAAACTCAGGCCCTGGCAGAAAGCCAAAGTCCGGAGCAAAGAAGAAGAAGAAGAAGAACAAGAACAAGTAAGAAGTTTCTATCTGGGTCAGAATCGGAATGGCTAAATATTTTCAATAAGATGTGAAAATGATTGAGTTATGAAGACAAACTACACATTCAAAATGAGAATCACCAACTGCAATAGATATTCAACCCTCCTGCATAGTGCAGAAAACCTGCTCAATGAACAAGAAACTTGAAAGCCAAACTAAGCCCCCCAGAAATGCACATATACAGAACAACAGGTTGTATTTCATGGACACAAAAACAATTAAATACAGAGGTTTAGAAGAGACTACAACTGAAGACAATTTCTGAAAGAAATAGAAAAGAGGCAATTAAGAATTAGGCACACAGGCCAGCCGATAGAATGACAAAGTTTATTTTCAAAGGGTTAGGAATTGGGCATACAGGTCTGTTGATAGAATGAGCAACAAAGTTTATTTTCAAAGGGTTAAGAATTGGGCATACAGGCCTGTTGATAGAATGAGCAAAACCTTTTTTTTTTTCAAAGGGTTAAGAATTGGGCATACAGGCCTGTTGATAGAATGAGCAACAAAGTTTATTTCGAAGGCTTAGGAATTGGGCAAACGGGTCTGTCTTACATTCCACCCTCTGGCCTCGCTTCATGCAAACATTTTCCCATTCATACGCCATTAATAATAATTATTATTTAAAAAAAAAAAACATCAACAACACATCAGTCTTCATTATAGACGCTGGAAGCTAAAGGCAGTGTACGATATTCCATCCAAAAAAGAGAGGTATGCACAGGAACAGCAGAATGGAAGACAGAACCAAAACAACTATGTCATGTAAAATGTCAAAATAGGATCAACGGTCTACATAAAATTAAGCCAGATATGTAAAACGAATGAATACGCATCAAACTTTTGCTGGTTGTTCTATCAACAGAATAATGAAAATGATGTCAATAAGAATTTTATTTTAAAAATATGTTTGTTGGTTTTCTATCAACATGGAGATAGTCACCTTTGAACCATCAGCAAGCTGTAGCTTAGAGATGCCTTTGATCTGTATCCTGTAGGGGATCTTGATATTCCAGACGATGATGTTGTTGTCAGTTTTGGTGCCGTTCTCCTTGCCAGCTGACACACTGTTCAGATTGTACAGAGTCGGCCGCCGTTGAGGGACAGGGGGCGTAGCTTCTGTGGATGCATTTTGTCAAATGTTGAAAAGATGTCTTCTTCTTCACATTCACCGGCTGTAAACTCTGACAGAAAGTTCTAGTTGTTTGTCCACTTCTGGACTTTAGTCTTGTTCCAGAACTCTGGTTTATTTTGATGCAGATTGTTGGCTGCTGGCCTCTCAGGCATGGATGCATGTATAGGTGTGTATGTATGGAATGTGTGTATAGGTGTGTATGTATGGAATGTGTGTATAGATGTGTATGTATGGAATGTGTGTATAGGTGTGTATGTATGGAATGTGTGTATAGGTGTGTATGTATGGATGCATGTATAGGTGTGTATGTATGGATGCATGTATAGGTGTGTATGTATGGATGCATGTATAGGTGTGTATGTATGGATGCATGTATAGGTGTGTATGTATGGATGCATGTATAGATGTGTATGTATGGATGCATGTATAGGTGTGTATGTATGGATGCATGTATAGATGTGTATGTATGGATGCATGTATAGGTGTGTATGTATGGATGCATGTATAGATGTGTATGTATGGATGCATGTATAGGTGTGTATGTATGGAATGTGTGTATAGATGTGTATGTATGGATGCATGTATAGGTGTGTATGTATGGAATGTGTGTATGTATGGATGCATGTATAGGTGTGTATGTATGGAATGTGTGTGTGCATGGATGCATGTATAGGTGTGTATGTATGGAATGTGTGTGTGCATGGATGCATGTATAGGTGTGTATGTATGGAATGTGTGTATGTATGGATGCATGTATAGGTGTGTATGTATGGATGCATGTATAGGTGTGTATGTATGGAATGTGTGTGTGCATGGATGCATGTATAGGTGTGTATGTATGGAATGTGTATGTATGGATGCATGTATAAGTGTGTATGTATGGAATGTGTGTGTGCATGGATGCATGTATAGGTGTGTATGTATGGAATGTGTGTGTGCATGGATGCATGTATAGGTGTGTATGTATGGAATGTGTGTATGTATGGATGCATGTATAGGTGTGTATGTATGGATGCATGTATAGGTGTGTATGTATGGATGCATGTATAGGTGTGTATGTATGGATGCATGTATAGGTGTGTATGTATGGAATGTGTGTATGTATGGATGCATGTATAGGTGTGTATGTATGGAATGTGTATGTATGGATGCATGTATAGGTGTGTATGTATGGAATGTGTGTGCGTGTATATCTATAAATGTATGTGTGTGTGTTTTCTGTTTATGCATTTATGTCTATGTATGTGCATGTGCTTTATGTTTGTGTATGTATGTAGATGCGTGTGTGTGTGTATTACGTATGTCTATATGAGTGTGCATGTATGAGAATGTAGGAGTATGTATACGTGTGTGTGCGATTGTGTACACATGATGTGTGTATGCATTATTCTATAATTTATATTTCTTTATTGTATTCATAACAAGCATTATTGATAGCAGGCATTAGTACTCTGAAAAATGAGTGCTTAGAAGGGCCGAATGTCACACGGGCCTGCGTGCCCAATTTGTAACCCTTTGAAAAAAAGTTTGTTCGTTCGTTCGTTCAGGCAGACGCACACTCCGATATCAAAGGAAAAATCCTGTTAGTCGACTCCTACGATATGCTTGTTAGGGGCCAGAAGGTTTACTCCCCCCCCCCCCTCCCCACAATACACAGGGAAAACATTTGTCAGCATCATTTGCTCAACCGGGAAGGTTAACCCGGTCAACAAATGCCCGCAGAAGTCGGATGTGTTGGCCGAAAGGTGCAAATATCACAGCCATGCTGTAAACAGACACAACGCAATTACATCTTCGGATGAACACAGAAGAAGAAGAAGAAGATTTGCTCGACAACTTCTAAGATACAAAATAATCAGCGTGATATGAATAGTAACTATAATAGCACAATTCTGCAAAGAGACAAGTTTAGGTTTAGACAACAGATCAACATCACGGCACAAGGGTAGTAACCCATAAGTGCTCCGTTCTTTCTTCTTACTCAAGCCCGAGTTCGAAGAATCTCAGCGCAGTGCACAAACTCTGTAACACCGGTGAGGATCCTGAAATACTTTTGGTAGATTTTCAACTCAAAATTATGCCTGCCCAGCGCCGATAGGCTACTCCTTTTTCGATTTCCAACTGCCAATGGATTTTTCACGTGCGCAACAATACACAGAGACCAGGAGAAATTACTAGAAGTCCATGTGAAAAAAATCCCAAACTTTACCAGGACTTGAACCCAGGACCTCCAGCACTCGAGGCTGATGCCATGCCATGAGACCACAAAGAGACCCTGGGTGAGACAAACGAGAGCATTCTCTCTGAAGAAACGAACAAACAAACTTTATTTTCAAAAAGTTACACATTGGGCACGCAGGACTATCTTAGATTCAGCCCTTCCAAGTACTCATCTTTCAGACCACTACTGCATGTTACCAATAAGGCATGTTATGTTTTTAAAAAAAATATATACAACGAAACAATATATACACACATAATATATTATACATACTCAAAAACACACTTGTACACACATATTCGCACATGCCCATACATATAGACACACCCATACATGTATATATAACACCCAGATACATGCACACCCATAGATACAACTATTTACATGCGCTCATGATCGTACAAATACACACTCATACATACACACAAATAGACTCAAACACATATATATATGTGTGTGTGAATACACATGCACAAACACCTATATACACACATGCACTCATATATATGCAAGCACACACCCAAACATACGTGCACCTGCATACACAGATATACATTCACACAAACACCCGCACACTGATATATCCACATACAAAACACAAGTGCACATACACACACTCAGACTGGTGTGCTCATGCACACAAAGCATTCATACATACACACTTAAGCATACACACATCTGAATACATACACACATACACTCACATTCATTCACAGGAGCGGAGCAAAGATGGGGTGACCCGTTTGCTATGAAGCTGAAACTAAGACTACCAGACCAGACTACCAAACATTCATACAAGCCCAAACACCAATACATACACACTCATACATACTCACTCATGCATACATAAACACCCATACATACACAAGTGCCTCATACACAATCGCCCAAACACACACAAACTCCCACACATCCTAAAACACTCTTATATACCCATATAACCCCATGCACACACGAGCATCTGATCATACACAATCACCCATACATACACATATATCCACAGACACTGTCACATACTCATACAAACCCATACATACACAATAATCTATTCATGCACAGTCACCCATACATAAACACCCACACATACACAGACACTCTCATATACTCATACACACCCATACATACACAAACACCCCTACATACACAAGAACCTATTTATACACAATCATCCATACATACACATACAAAAATCATGCACACTGGAAGGCGATAGATAGCAAACACTCTAACAGGAGACATATAGCACATATAAAGTTTGTTAGGGGATATTCAATGTAGCACACACTGTGCTAGGAGACAAAACATTGACACAGTGAGAAGCCGTCTTACCTGGCAAGGTGGACCGGAGAACCATCCAGAAATGTGGAGCTGTGTTTTTGACTAGGCACTGGTATACATACTGCAAGCAGGATGATGATGATAGTGTGTTATTTCACAGTGGCAGACACTTAATGTGTGTGGTGAATGCAGATGATATCATGTAAGGTGGTGGCTTGATGGAGTGTGATGTGGTGGCCTTGTGGTGATGTGAGGTGGTGGCTTGGTGGTGATGTGAGGTGGTGGCTTGGTGGTGATGTGAGGTGGTGGCTTGGTGGTGATGTGAGGTGGTGGCTTAGTGGTGATGTGAGGTGGTGGCTTGGTGGTGATGTGAGGTGGTGGCTTGGTGGTGATGTAAGGTGGTGGCTTGGTGGTGATGTGAGGTGGTGGTCTTGTGGTGATGTGAGGTGGTGGCTTGGTGGTGATGTGAGGTGGTGGCGTGGTGGTGATGTGAGGTGGTGGCTTGGTGGTGATGTGAGGTGGTGGCTTGGTGGTGATGTGAGGTGGTGGCTTTGTGGTGATGTGAGGTGGTGGCTTTGTGGTGATGTGAGGTAGTGGCTTGGTGTGATGTGAAGTGGTGACTGGTGATGTGAGGTGGTGGCTTTGTGGTGATGTGAGGTGGTGGTTTGATGGTGATGTGAAGTGGTGACTGTGGTGATGTGAGTTGGTGGTGATGTGAGGTGGTGGTTTGATGCTGATGTGAAGTGGTGACTGTGGTGATGTGAGGTGGTGACTTGGTGGTTATGTGAGGTGGTGACTTGGTGGTGATGTGACATGATGATGTCTGGTGGTGATGTAATATTGTAAGTTGGTGATGTGATGTGGTAATGACCGGTGGTGATGTCAAGTGATGAAGTTGGGTGTTGACTTGTAGCCACACAAGACGATCTGGTATTTACATCAAACTGTGGCTTAAACAGTGACTATAAAATATGTTACATACAAAGAAACTCATAGCACTCCCTATTCTAAATCAGCTCCCTTAAGACACTAACATGACCTTCATCTCACCTTAAACTGGATCAAAGGATAGTCCCCATAGAGAAACTCTTCCTGACCTATGACCTTAAGCAGGTAGAGCTCGCTGTCCTCCAAGGGAACGCCCAGGTTGTTGCTTCGCTTGATGAGAGCTGCATGCACTGTCTCTTGGGGGGTCCACAGGTGGTTGACCCGCAGCTTGTAGCATACCTGTGGGTGTGTAAGGGTCAACATTACATGCACTGGTAAATGTGTAAGGGTCAACATTACATACACGGGTAAGCGTGTAAGGGTCAACATTACGTGCATGGCTAAGCCTGTAAGGGTCAACATTACGTGCATGGCTAAGCCTTAAGGGTCAACATTACGTGCATGGCTAAGCCTGTAAGGGTCAAAATTACATTACATGTAAGTGTGTAAGGGTCAACATTGCATGTCTGAGTAAGGATCAACATTACATGTGTGAGTAAGGGTCAACATTACATGTGTGAGTAAGGGTCAACATTACATGTGTGAGTAAGGGTCAACATTACATGTGTGAGTAAGGGTAAACATTACATGTGTGAGTAAGGGTAAACATTACATGTGTGAGTAAGGGTAAACATTACATGTGTGAGTAAGGGTAAACATTACATGTGTGAGTAAGGGTAAACATTACATGTGTGAGTAAGGGTAAACATTACATGTGTGAGTAAGGGTAAACATTACATGTGTGAGTAAGGGTAAACATTACATGTGTGAGTAAGGGTAAACATTACATGTGTGAGTAAGGGTAAACATTACATGTGTGAGTAAGGGTAAACATTACATGTGTGAGTAAGGGTCAACATTGTGTGTGAGAGTAAGGGTCAACATTGTGTGTGAGAGTAAGGGTCAACATTGTGTGTGAGAGTAAGGGTCAACATTGTGTGTGAGAGTAAGGGTCAACATTGTGTGTGAGAGTAAGGGTCAACATTACATGTGTGAGTAAGGGTCAACATTGTGTGTGAAAGTAAGGGTCAACATTGTGTGTGAGAGTAAGGGTCAACATTGTGTGTGAGAGTAAGGGTCAACATTACATGTGTGAGTAAGGGTCAACATTGTGTGTGAGAGTAAGGGTCAACATTGTGTGTGAGAGTAAGGGTCAACATTGTGTGTGAGAGTAAGGGTCAACATTGTGTGTGAGAGTAAGGGTCAACATTGTGTGTGAGAGTAAGGGTCAACATTGTGTGTGAGAGTAAGGGTCAACATTACATGTGTGAGTAAGGGTCAACATTACATGTGTGAGTAAGGGTAAATGTGATGACCCTGCTTTGCATGGTCTCCACGAGTACATTGTGGCAAGCAGGAAGTCCGTGCTACAAGTGACGGCACGAGATACTTGTGGCCGGTAGAGTAAGCGAGGCGAAGCCCGAGCTAGCCTCGTGGTTAGTGGATCATCAGAAGTCAGAGAGGACGGTAGCTTTTTCTTAGAGTAGTTTTAATATTGCGCGAGGTACAAGTGTTTGAACATGTTGCGTGCGAGAGAAGATAGTTGAAAGCGTAACTTCAAGTCTACGTCTGGGTTCATTGCAAGTGGGGTGCTTGTCCGAAGGCAATTCGAAACCACGCGGACCTCAATCATATGAAAACAATTTTTCTTCCAAGGTAAGATAAACATGCGGAAAACAGTGTACTTTACCCGAGCAGAGCCTATAATTAACACAGCAAGCTGCGACAGGTCAGCTGCCGACCAATGAAAACCGGTGTGTCATCTACGCCCTGCCACACACCGTATCATTAAGTTTTGCGGATTCAGGAAGTTTGATGTTTACCGAAGGTACATATCATAAATATTTTAAATCTGGTTTGTGAATTAAATCATGTTTGTGACCATTATTGTTTCGCGGAAACTAGCGGACTATGAACTAATTTTATTTACAGTTACGATCAGTTTTCTTACTACGGTGACATTTTTTGCATCGATTGTGCGTTTATCAGAATGGCATCTAAAAGGTTGGTAAAAAGTAAGAACACTATGTCGCAAGTATCTTCAGCGACAACAATGAAAGATACATCGATAAGTAACCAGAAGATCAAGATGTGCATTTTTTGCAAGTACCAGCACAGTTCTTCAACTATCTGCGACAGAGATCCTAAATATTCAAGTTATATTGAAGACTTGGTCAATAAAAAATGGCGAAATAAACAAAATAACAACCTTAAAAAATGTTGTTTCTGTTCGGCATTCGGACATATTGTAAAACACTGTGTTGGAAAACAGATGTTAAAAGACAAGAAGAGATCCTTGTTTGCAAAAACTAATTCAGAAAGAATGGATTCAGAAGGTATTCCTACTCTAGATTGTGCACTGTGCTACTGGAGAAAGAATCAAGGAAAAGTTACAGCTCCACATATCATGTTTATAGGAAAAAGCCAATTGAAATGTCCAGGAACTAAAAAGATTAAGAACGAAATCGTGATTGCAGAATTAGAATTCAGCAAGAGTAGTAATACAAGCAAGAAAGTTGAAATGAAAAAGACAGCAGCCACTGAAACAGAGAAAAAGTCAAACTCAGAAACAATGGAAATTAATTAGCAACCACCTTTTCCAAAAATGAAATCTAAATCTGATTCAGCCAAGAGTCACAATCAAGGAAAAAATGGATTGGAAACGCAAAGTATGAAACAGGCAGACTGTGAAATACTAATAGATAAACAAGCCATGAATAAAGAATTTTCATTATTAGAGGACAATAAATATATAGATTATCCACAGAGCAACAAGTCAGAAATGTTGGGAAAAGTCAACTAAATGTTTGATAAACAAGAAACCAGCACAAATGCAATTAAATAGAAAATCAAATATCACTTTGGTACGTGAATTTTTTTTTAGAAAAATCAGATTATAGCGGAGAAATGGTTTACTGTTTAGACAGAGAAGGTGTTTTTATGCGATTTTGGACAGCTTATATTTATTTGAAGTCGCCCTATATATCAAGACCATTGAAAGTAGTGGTAACGAGCAACATCGGAACAGATGTGATTCTGGGATACAAAGACTTCAACATTAGAGACTGTTCTGATGAAGACATACGAGTCTGGGAACAAAGTCATCTCCATCAACAAAAATAACAGCTGATTCAAGGAAAATTACCATCTTTATTTATGAACTGAAGTATCACTATTTACGAACATGAAACTATATGGTCCATCATCATGAAGTTCAAGATTATTATCAGTCAGGAAGCTACATAGAACCACCTTCAACCTAACGATCAAGAGTAAACCTGAACAATCATCAAGAATTGACATTTAATCATTCTTCACCTTCAAGATTGTCATATTTCAACCAAAATTAGAAATCACCAACCAGTACTGTACAGGGAATAAACAGAAACATACCAGCCACTGAATTATTCAAATTTGAAAATCACTATCAAGAAACACGAAATTTTCTCCAGATACCTCAAAATCGACCATTGAAACATCTTAAAATCATCAATTATCAAGTGACACTTCAAGAGCACCTATACAATATCAAGATCATCGAATACCAAACGTATCATAAAATAAAGAATGCGAGAATAATGAAGCATTCCTACAGTTTAAGCACAATCAACAGCCACAAAAATGTCAGTATTTCTAGTGTTCACACGAGTATTTATTGTGAAAGTTAAATCAAGTTAATTATCTAAAGTGTTTGTGTAAATAAATATCAAATTAATGATGAAGTATTTTTAAAAAGTGCATAAACACCTGATTTCATTTATAAAAAGCAGCCACATACTGTGTGTATTGAACACCTTCCGTTTAATTCCGTTTAATTATTTTAAAGATGGCATATCAGTGTATGCAGTCACTGAACACTGTTAATAGTATTGTGTCATCTCATAAAATTATATTTTTAGTCAGTATATTTGCAAGATTACCAGCTATCCTACCAAGAGAGACCCCAAAGCAGAACAGACTGTCGAGCAAACCAAGGAATGAGAACCTTGAAAGCAAGCGCTAGAGTACAAGCAAGACACACACAGCCTGCAGGGATGGATCAAGATCAAGGATAGTTAATGGAATGAATGGGAATGAAAGAGAATAAAACAGGTATGAATGATGAAGGAAAGATTTGTGGGTAGTATTTTAATAGTGTACATGTATTTAACTTAGGTAGTAGTTCATTAGGATTATTTTAGGATTCATGTAATAACAGTAGTTCAAAAGTTTAAAAAAAAAAAAAATCTCTCTCCCCAGGAACAGCACAGAAGAATTAGATCAAGATTTAGCAATAGATCATATAGAAATCTTTTTCCACAGAATGACTTAGATAAAAAATTCAATTTGAAATGTTTTAGCTTAGGGGTGCAGAACTGGGACATGGTAAATTGGTCCACGACACCCAAGATTATAAACTGCTAAAATTATACTTATGCTTAGACAGACTGATGGTAAAGAAAGAGTGCACACATCAAAGCACAAGCACAATAGAGGAGTTGAACTCATCTGTATCCATTTAAAGGGGGAAAAGGTTGTGGGATTCCTTGGAGTCGAATACTCTGTTAAAGGTGATATAGAGACTGGTGGGGAAACCCTAAACTCTATGAAAAAATCATCCCAATAGTCATCATTTCATCTGAGATTCCTTGGGGTTAACTACCCTGCTAAAGGTGGTTATAGACTTGGAGGAAACTCTAAGATCTATGAAAAAATATATCTCAACTATCATTGTTTTTCATGTTGAATTCCTTGGAGTTGGGTAATTACTCTGTGAAAGGTGAGACTTTGGTCTATGAAAAAATATCTCAACATGCATTTTTTTTTTCAGTGGTAGATTCCTTGGGGTTGGGTAATTACCCTGTAAAAGGTGTTATAGAGGCTTTTGGGAAACTAGAAGCACTATGTTAAATATATCTTACCACTATCATATCGGCTAAGAGTCCTTGGGGTTTAATACCCTGTGAAAGTTGATGTAGAAATATTGGTTAATCCAATTTTCTATGTAGTAAATATCTCAAAGCTGACATCATCATCATCACTATCATCATTTCACTTTAAACCCGATAGAGTAGATATAGTGACTAGACAATACTACAGATGCAATAGGTGTAAAGATGGTTTAAACCCTTCACCAGCTCAGTACAGGGAAAGCATGCAGTAAATACTGAAAGCAGTTTTAAAGGGCAGTAATTAAGGATAGTCAGGAACCATAATCCCTAGTGGGAATACAATTAAATTGATTTACTATATCTGGTTAA